GCAGTGGCGCGCTTGTTGATATTAGTATCTGTTACTATCAAGCCACGCCATAGACACGTAGTCACGACTTATATTTGCGGATTTGTTTGATGTTCAGTGTCAAGGTTTTTAAATTTTTTTGTTTTTGAAGTTAATAATAACTTTGAGTGAAAGAAAAGCAGGACAAGTTTATGCTGTTAAAAGCTGCCACAACAAAAGATATAATTGAATCGGTGAGTGAAAGAACAATACATCAAAAATTACCATTTTGAGAAAAACAAAAAAAAACTGTTTTAAAGGAGAACTATGGGTTATTCGGCCTAATTATGTATTGTGAAGTTATAGAATTTTTGTTAACCGATAATAATACGTACATAAATTTAAAAATAAAATTCTGCAAAAAATGATACTTGAAAAAAATGACTTGCAGTTATACTGTTCTTTCACTCAATTTAAAAAAATTGTTTAAATTTTTTTGTAGCTTTATTGATTATTAACAAACTTATTTGTAATTTTTTAATCAGAATCTTCATTTTTGACTTTCCAAGAAATAATATATGGTAGTAAAACTCTAGGATTTCATCACTAAAGTAGAATAAAAGTATCTTTATATTGGCTATCTTCTTTACGTTAATAGGGACAACTTCTGAGTATGCTTTTTCTAATGGCGAGCATACACCCCAGACAACACACCAAATCCCAGAGATATCCACAGAATATCTTTTGTTGATATCCAATATATCCACAGGATATCAGAAATATTCCGTGGATCTAATATATGGATATCCAAATGTCCGTCTATATCCAGAATATAGAAGATATCCTAATGGATATTCAGCAAAATATCTAATGGGTATCTTCCAGAAAATACAAGAAATCCCAGATATATCCACAGAATATATTTTGTGGATATTCAATATATCCAATATGGATATCCAACCAAATGTCCGTCTATATGCCAGGATATAGAAGATATTCGGATATTCAGCAAAATATTTTATGGGTATCTTTAGTAGAGGTACATAAGTAACCAATGATTATTGAATAACGTCGAAAGAAAATAGCAGAGAAAAAAATATTTTCAACACTCTGCCTTTGATTTTGCCCACTAAGGAGAAAGTCATCCTTATTGGGACTCTTCAGCAATAAATGGAAATTCTCGACTCCAGTCTCTAATGGAGTCTGATTGTGAAACAAATTTCGATCGAACTCAATTACGGCGGGTTGAGCATGAGTAGATGCGAAAGTAGTATCGCCATCTATACTTAGTAAGCAGAATCAAATAACATCCAGTGGATATCCACGATGGTTTGCGTTCGCGCCTAGACTTTGATATATTTAGTGGATGTTCATGGGATATTGAATACACCTTAAAAAAAATAATTTTAAATATCTGAACGGTACTATTAGCCACAATGGCGTAATTTTTTAATAATTTGCTATATAATTACTATTATTTATGGACATTTGCATGTCTATAAATACATTTTATGGATATAAAATAGATATCTACCATGGACATTCAGTGGATATTGGGATGTTCAGTAGATATCCAAAGGATTTGGTGTGCTGTCTGGGACGTAAAGGTCTACCTATACAGGTGTGTGCGCAGGTCGGCTTTATGTCGTAGCGTGTATGTCTACCTGTGCAGGCACACCTGCACAGACAGACCGTAGCGTGTATGCCCGCCATAAGGGTAACTGCAGATTGGCATTAGGTTTGATCAGTCGAATGCGCCCCACATACAAGTGTGCGAGAGAAAAACCGCCTATGAAGGCACTTGTAGTAACATATCCAAGAGTTTTACTAGTGTATGTAAACTGGCTGTACTGCGAAATGACAAAATTAGCTTTTTGTTCATCAGCTGATTTAGAAGTTTTTTTTATGAAATTGCGACCACCAGTTTTTGAAATCTGTGTCAAATTTGTCTACGAAACGACATGGCTACTGAGTGAAAAAACTACATGCGGGGTACTTGTACTGTTTTTTCACTCAGCCGAAAATTGAACAATCCCCATCGCTCGTATGATGTTGGTCGGTGTATTATTCTTTCGCTATGTGATAGGCCTATGAATTTTAAACAATTTGCATATCTCCGTTAAAATTACCGTTTTTGGCACTTGTATTGTTCTTTCACTCACCGATACAATTATTGTAATAAGAGATTCTTTAGCTTTCCTAGGCAACCCGACAGTTGAGTACAAACTTATTTCTAGACCATTCATTATAATTTTTATAAGGTAAGTATAATAATTAGACGAAATTTTGCGAAAAACAATTTTAAGAATATTTTTAATTAATGCTACCTTCTACCCAGACAACACACCAAATCCCAGAGATATCCACAGAATATCTTTTGTAGATATCCAATATATCTACAGGATATCAGAAATATTCCGTGGATCTAATATGGATATCCAAATGTCCGTCTATATCCAGAATATAGAAGATATCCTAATGGATATTCAGCAAAATATCTAATGGGTATCATCCAGAAAATACAAGAAATCCCAGAGATATTCACAAAATATATTTTGTGGATATTCAATATATCCAATATGGATATCCAACCAAATGTCCGTCTATATCCCAGGATATAGAAGATATTCGGATATTCAACAAAATATTTTATGGGTATATTTTAGTAGAGGTTCGTAAGTAACCAATGATTATTGAATAACGTCGAAAGAAAATAGCAGAGATACAAAATATTTTCAACTCTCAAAATATTTTCAACACTCTGCCTTTGATTTTGCCCACTAAGGAGAAAGTCATCCTTATTATGACTCTTCAGCAATAAATGGTAATTCTCGACTCCAATCGAGTCTTAATGCGAAAAAATGTTCGATCAACTCAATTATGGCGGGTTGAGCATGAGTAGATACGAAAGTGGTATCGCCATCTATACTTAGGAAGCAAAATCAAAAATTACATCTAGTAGTTATCCACGATGGTTTGCGTCCGCGCTAAGACTTTGATATATGTGGATGTCCATGGGATATTGAATACACCTTAAAAAATTAATTTTAAATATCTGAACGGTACTATTAGCCACAATGGCGTAATTTTTTAATAATTTGCTATATAATTACTATTATTTATGGACATTTGCATGTCTATAAATTACATCTCATGGATATAAAATATATATCTACCCTGGACTGGACATTCAGTGGATATTGGGATGTTCAGTAGATATCCAAAGGATTTGGTGTGCTGTCTGGGTATCATTTAACCACTCGATGTTATAATTGTTGCTATTATACAAATTATTCTTATTAAGAATTTCGAGCTCATACGCTAAATTAGAAACATATTTAGCTGTAATTTCAAAAATAACACACTTCTTTTGCAAATGGCAAGGATTTGGACAATGAAATCCGACAGGGAAGATCTATCTGATAGACTCGATAACTTGCAGAAAAGTTACACACTATGTGAAGACCACTTTGAGCAAAGAATGTTCACAAATGGTCTTGGTGAACATTTGAATGCGAATGCATTCCTGAACATTAGTTCCATCACTTGAAGGAAGTACAAGAGGTATTGTCAGTGATCACGGGTATTCTAGGCCAATACTTCTTCCGGCGAAAATACGGGTTTTTAAGAACAAAGTATTAGTTCCAGCAACAAAAAGAAACTCAATAAATTACTTCAGATAAATACTAGGATTAATTAAGGTTGTTTAATGAATTTTAGATTATTTATTGAAGAATTGTGAGTCTGGGGCCTAGACATCTAAGTAGGTAAGCTAATAAATAAGACCAGGTTTTACCAATGAGCTTTGTAAATAGCAAATGCATCAATTGTGTTTCATACAAATTTTGGTATTTCATTTATTTGATTAAATCCAAACTGATACTTTAATTAGGCTAAATAGTGTTCATATCCCATTTAAATTCCAGAATAGGGTCGGTATCTAAAAAACGACATAAGTATTTAAAAGTACTAATTTCGAAAATCCATCAGTGCGATTCGTTTTATAAAATTATTCCTAATCTGAAAATTATTTAAACTTCTCAAGATCTTTAAATGCTTTGCTTTAAATCTACTTATAACATACATTAAAAAAAATACCTTAAAAAATAAAAGAAATATTTTAAATCCGTCCCAGACTTCTACCCAGAAAGTGAGAGAGATAACTATAGAAAATCCTAAAAGATGAAAGGTGCCGCCGCAGTCTCCCAGCTGGTTATGGTAAGCTGACAGTATATCCAAAACTAAGGATACCCATATAATTTTTTTTAAACTCACTATTAAGGGAGATGCAACTCTTTATCTAAAGCCTGTATATTATTTTAAGCAAAAATATGAAACTCAGTATAACAATTTTTATTTAAGGGTGACTCATCTGCAGATTAGACTGTGTTCAGCCAGCAACAACACCTGCTGCATATGTTAAATTTTAGGATTCCCCACCAAACTTCTAGGTGCAATGATACTTTTTACTTGACCACTCTCCGCACCAACATTTTAAGCAAATCTCCATTATATGTCATGTGTAGTAATTGCAACAGCATTAACTCTGAGTTGGATTATTTAACATTAGAATTTTAGACATAAAACATTTGCTTTTGTGATTATTTTATCAGTTTAAGTATTGTTTTTTTTTTTACTTTCTCAAATCTTTATTCTTTTGTTTTGTAATTTTTAACATTGTATTTTTTTGATATATTTGTTTTGTCACATTTTGCCTGTTCTTTAATTGGGAATTTCCTGTAGAACAGTTTGTAAAATAAAATAAATAAATAATATATGTTTCATAGATGAGTCACCTTTAAATAAAAATTGTTATACTAGGTATAGTAAAATATATTACCATAAGACCTATTGTAAAAAAATATATTACTGATATTACTTAAATAGCTGGAAATATTTAATGTAATATATATTTGCATTTTAGTCACCCAAAATAAATAAAAGTCACACAAGCATAAAATTTGTATTTTATAAAATCAATTGACTATTAAAATGTTTTGTTTTAACAGTAACATAACTTATTAAATATCACTTGGTCCTTGAATTAAAATTATTGGTTAGAAATATTTTGATTACAGTTAATTTTAACTTTATTTTGATATTCATCACAGTTAGTGGAAGTGGATGGGTTTGTATTTAATTTCATGGTAATTGGGTTGAGGGGTAAACTATCATCTGATATACTTGAAGATGCATTTGATAAATTAGAATCATCTCCAGAATCATTAAATTTAGAATTCGAGGGTTTTGGCACATTTAAATTAGAATCACGTTCATCAAAACTGTATAAACCTTCATCAGAATACCACAAACCAGTCTTTAGCTTTTTGTTAGTTTTCAACAAGTTTTTATAATTTAAAGGGCTTATCCAGCTATCTTCCATGTCAGCAAGACGTTTTGCAGAGTCTTCCTCTAAAATATTGAATTAGTTATTTTAAAAAATGGCAAATGTAAACAATTTTTCTTAAGTATAATTACCATAATTGGGAACAATCCAGAAATATTTCCTCTGGTACAACCTTCTGAGTCCAGGAATATTCTGGTAATTTTTATATATATGTTTATGTTTAGAAATAAATTTAAGACAAAGCATCTGCAATGTAGGTTCTTCTGAAACTGCACACACTAATTTAACTGCGGATTGAGCTGCTGTAGAACTGACCATAGGATATAATTCATAGGATTTCATACCAGTAAATGCAATACCTGAAATTATAAACATATTACATACTAGGTAAAAACTTTAAGTAATGAGCTAAAACTTACCTAGAGGTTTTCGGTTCAGGTAATATTCTAAAGTTCCTTTACACATATCTAAATGTACTCCTACAATACTTCCTAATCCAAACTTGGACCCATACTTTCTTATTAAACTATTATGTTGAATTTTTCCATGATAAGAGTAACCCCAGGATTCCGAATCATTTCCTAATAGACTACAAAATTTTAACTTCCATTTGTCACATTCCACCTTTGATGTTCCTACCCCTACCATCTAAAATTAAATTAAAAGACAATACTTTAGAGTGAAACTGAAATAAATCAAAATCACAGGCTAAAGTGTTTTTGTTCTAAATTAATTGTTAAATGCACAAATGTCTGGAATAGTGTTTAATCAAAATATCATCTCACAAAATTAGGAGCCTGGCACACAATATTAAGGGGTACCAATCATTATTTCCATATTTAAACACATAAAATAATTTTAAATAGTTACCACATCAGTCCCATACATGTTTGATGTCATTTTAACCTCCCAATAATAATGTAAATTTGGTTGAAAAGTTAAATCTCCTCTAACTAATGCTGTTCCTGAACTGTAGCAAGGATGAAATAAAATATCTTTATTATCGTTCGTTATTCCTGTGCCAGGCGAACTGTTTGCCGTTGACCAATTCCAGATATAAATTCCAATATCTTCGCCACAATTACATTGTAATATTCCATCTACTAAACATGATTTGGAACAGGATTTATTCACATATTTCATTTTTAAATCTAAGAAAGAGTCTCTAGAAAACTGTGCATGAAAAAATCTTTCTAAAGCAAGATTTGGTTTATTTACTAATTCGTCCATGTCTGAAAAATGAGTGAAATGCCAAATACAGACACAGCGTTGCCAACTGGCCATCGACCTAAGTCCTTTCCATTCTTTTAATTTTTTTTATTATTAAAAAAAAGTTAGGTGTACGTACAGGGTATACCTACATATTATAGGAACACAACTTGCGCTGAAGAAATATACCATAATACCATGTATATTTATTTACTACACTCGGAATATATATTTAAATTAATGCATCTGTCAAAAATATTCACATTCAAATTTAAAATCAATTTTTATACGAGGTAGGTAGGTATACCCAGACACCACACCAAATCCTTTGGATATCTACTCAACATCCCAATATCCACTGAATGTCCAGTCCATGGTGGATATCTATTTTATATCCATGAACTGTAATTTATAGACATGCAAATGTCCATAAATAATAGTAATTATATAGCAAATTATTAAAAAATTACGCCATTGTGCTCGCCTTGTGGCTAATAGTACCGTTCAGATATTTAAAATAATTTTTTTTAAGGTGTATTCAATATCCCATGGACATCCACTAAATATATCAAAGTCTAGGCGCGAACGCAAACCATCGTGTAATTTTTGATTTTGCTTACCAAATATAGATGGCGATACTACTTTCGCATCTACTCATGCTCAACCCGCCGTAATTGAGTTCGATCGAAATTTGTTTCACAATCAGACTCCATTAGAGACTGGAGTCGAGAATTTCCATTTATTGCTGAAGAGTCCTAATAAGGATAGCTTTCTCCTTAGTGGGCAAAATCAAAGGCAGAGAGTTGAAAATATTTTGAGTGTTGAAAATATTTTTTATCTCTGCTTCTGCTATTTTCTTTCGACTTTATTCAATAATCATTGGTTACTTATGAACCTCTAAAGATACCTATAAAATATTTTGCTGAATATCCGAATTCTTCTATATCCTGGCATATAGACGGACATTTGGTTGGATATCCATATTGGATATCCACAGAATATATATTATGTGGATATCTCTGGGATTTCTTGTATTGTCTGGAAGATACTCATTAGATATTTTGCTGGATATCCATATTATCTTCTATATTCTGGATATAGACGGACATTTGGATATCCATATTAGATCCACGGAATATTTCTGATATACTGTGGATATATTGGATATCCACAAAAGATATTCTGTGGATATCTCTGGGATTTGGTGTGTTGTCTGGGTAGGTATAAGAAGTTAAATAATTAACAAAAACGGATACACTTTCATTGAAACTGTACTCTTAAAATAATATTATTATTATTATTATTATTATCATCATTCATGAAGTCGCCAGATAATGGTGAGGCTTGAGGTTTGAGATACATCTCAAATTTAAATAATTCGAAGTCGCAATAACGGACCTATTAAATCGCTAGATCTAGCTACAAAATCGGTAAGTTGGCAATCTGAAGGAAGAAAGACAAAATTGACATTGACGTTTTATGTCAGTTGACAACTCTGAACGTTGACACACAGGTTTGTCGTAGATAAGTCGTTTTTACTTGGTAATGTTAAAATTATTTTTTGTATTTGTTAAAAAAATACACCGCTTATTCAACTTCAAGGAAATAATTATTGGTAATTAAAAAAAAACAGTATGATAAATAAAAACAAAATATGTCACATATCTACGGCGTAAAAACAATCTAAATAAATAATCGCAAAAATATGCCTATTTTATTTGACAGAACTAAAATCTAAATACGAAAATGCCAGATGTCAAATAAATTGATAAGATATTTCAATCTCGAACATGAAGGAAATTTATTGATTATAAAAAGACAATATGGGAAACGTAGATACTAAATTAAATTTTAGAAAGGCTGTCGTTCAACTTACATCCAAGTCGGAGGTAATTTCAATCACTTCATAGTTATCAAGATTATTCATATATTTTTGTTTTAGCCAATTGACTCAAATGATGATGCTTTTTGGGAACAGTTTTGGTCTGAAAACGTTACTAATGTACAAGATATTTTTACTTTAGTTCCTGCAACTGAAATAAGACAATTAAGGGAAGATGCACCATCGAATCTAGCAACTTTGTGTTATAAAGCAGTTGAGAAATTAGTTAAAGCTGTAGACAATAGTTGTAGAACCCAGTATGAACAACAAACAGGTATAATGTAAATTAAAAAAAAATGAATTCAAATACAGATTACATAGACATAACATAAAATGAACATAAAAACCTGTCAAAGCTTAAGCTTGGCTCTATTCATCTAGGAATCTTGCGAGACCAAATAAAAATAAATAAAGTAAAAATATTTGTTTTTAGTTTTAAATTGTTCCCGCCTGCTTACTAGAATTTTACCATACATTTTTGAAGATATAGAATGGAAAGATTTTTTTTGGTCATCTCTACCCAGTCATGAAGAAGATGATGAATCTGTACCCTTGGCTCATTCTTTATTAAATTCAATATGTGTATGTATATTTTTACTACATTTTATTTAGCAAGTGCCTTTTTGTTTAAAGTGGTGAAATATCCCATATTTGAATGATTTTTTTCAATTTAAACATAAACGTTGAATATAAAAGATAATCTTACATGTATATTATGCTTATTATTAAACAAATAAAATATTATCTATTTAGGTATAGAAAAATTTACACATTATTATAAGAAATTATTGAAATGTTGAAACTAATTTCTACATATCAAATTTGTGGTACAGCATAATATGGTTAAAGTAGAGTGATTTAATCACATTGGTTTATACAGACAGATATTAATACATTTTATATTTCTAATAAAGTTTGATTCACAATAGAAGAAAACAAATCTGAATAACAGTTATTCTTTTAAAATGTTCTTTAGTATGTAAATCTAAAATGCAATGATCAAACATCAATATTTCTGTTATTTATATAAGATTTGCTAGAAAATATAAGGCCCAACAATAAATTAGGTAGGGTCCGATTACAATTAGATGAACACAGGTATGTCCTCAATTAGTGGAATATTTCGTTGGCTATCGCCGCCTACTGGGGGTTTAGTGGCTTGTTAATATTATAGAAATTCTATTTTTAAACCACACAACTCACATATTCTTTATTTATTGATAGTTGTAGATGATATATATTGGAAATTCGAAATAATAGTTATGACGTAGCTGTGTTCTTCTAATTGTAATCTGACTTCTTTACATTATATTTTTCCTTATATTGAAAATTGATATTAGGGTTAAAAACTTAATATATAGTGATTTGCATCTATTTTGAAAATTCTGTTTTTTGGCTCCCACAGAACTTTTATAAAGAATACTTTTTTTTATAATAAACATCCATGTGTAGCCATCATAAGTAGACATACTGTATTTTATTTTTAATGTTTTAAACTTTATTCTATTACTCTGTTATAGGATTTGTTATTCTGCCCAGATTTTACTGTTGTGGCTAGCAGAAAAAGTGGACCGGTAAGTAAATATATGTGCATATTATTATTATTATACCGGGTGTTCAAATTAAAGTGTTACAGTTAAATACCGCCGAAAATATGCATTTTAGGAAAAAAGTTTGAGACAAAAGTTTTATAGTTTTTTGGGGGAAACATTTTGGCTAAATTAATTTTTTTATAGCTGACCATAATATGGCCATATCGAGGTGTACTTTGTTTTTTTAAATGAGAACCCGATTTTTTTTTACATATTCTTAAAGTACATAAAAAAAATAAAAAACTTTTGATGGAAATATTTTTTTTATTCGACTTTTACTTTTTGAGTAACAGCTACTTGAAAATTTTGCTGGACGAAAAAAAAAGTTGGCCATATTATGGTTAGCTATGAAAAACGATTTTAGCCAAATTTTTTTCCCTACAAAACTATAATACTTTAGTCTGAAACGTTTTTTTATAATAGCCGGTATTTAGCTGTAACACTTTAATTTGAACACCTGGTATAACAATAAGCAAGGTATCATGTCAAATATGTATATTCATTCATTCAGCTTTCCTTAATTGCAAAAATTCTAATAAAAACAGCAAATTGTTAGAATTATTTTTCCAGAGAAGAAACTCAATAAAGGTTCAACATTGCCAGGGTTAGAATAAATGTTGATAGGATAATACAAAGATTAAGATGTAACATATTTTATTGTATACATTTTTATTGTTTAATAACCCTCAATTTTCAAATGTACAAATCTCAATTTGGAGTGGGTTCAATTTCTAAAGATTTTAGATAAAAAAAAATGATATATTTTCATATAAAAAAAAGTAATTCAAAACAATATTCTTCTTTATCTTCTCTGTCACCTGTTGCCTTTTCATCTCTCTAATACTCTACCCTTTCTACTACTTCTACTTGCCTACGTTTTGGTAAATTTGGCAGCACTAAATATTTTCAAATAAAAATAATGTAAATAAATCATTATTTGCGAACACTTATTTATTAAAGTAATTTATATACATATTGTTTCAGTTAACAAAATGGTGTTAGCACAGTGTTTGTTTTTAAGCAAATATTTATTTTATTAATATATTTTTAATTACAAACTCAAATCCAAAATTAATTATTAGTTTTATTAAGGTCGCAGTATCACTGTATTTTTCATATAAGAAGCAAGGGTTTACCATTTCCGATTGCATTTAAATCCCGCTAAATGTATTAAAATGAATCTTCTACCAGCTTAAAGTATAAGGTTTGGAGAATGAAATCTCCTATTTTTTATTTGTCCTATTTATACACTGAATTTTAAAAAAAATCATAAAAAGTGATTTTAAAACCAGAGGCTAAAAAGTAGGAGATTTCATTCTACATATTTTTCCAAGTATCCCGCCAAAATATTTCTAAATTTTATTGCGTATTTTTCAAATCTAACTGGAAATACGATTAACAAATATTTGATAAATTTATTTGTCAAATTAGAGATTTTCTATGAATTCCTGTAATTGTGTGTAGTTCATCTATTTTTAAGAAGATGTCACCGTAAAAAACATTTAGCTACTCTGTTTTAGAGATGGTTTTAATAGGTAAATGATTGTTTAGAGGTACCAATTTTTGAAACAGTGATACAGCGGTATGCCGTCTTTTATTGTTTCGTGATTTTCATATATATATTTGTCTCGTTTGGTTCCAAATTATCGATTGACTTTGCCTGTGTATGAACAAGTGTTGACCACGTTGCCAGATTATCGATTTATACGATAATTTTACAATTCTTTCTAGGACGAATTTGATTTTAAAGTGGGTGAAATATACAATGGTGAACTGCAGGAAAGAGAAGGAATTTTATTGCATTCCGATGTAATTTAAATCCGAATGACCTGGCATCATTGTATGATACGCACGTAATATTTGTGTACTTTGCTTTCTTCTTCTCAATGTTATTTTATGTTTATAAGGAATCTTATTTCTGAGTTAACACGTTGACTGCTATGTGTATGTACCCATGTGTATGTCCCATTAGTGCGTAATTGTTCAATATTTTAATTTATGTTAAAGACACGCAAACATGTTTCAAAGAAAAGTTATATGTATTTAAAAAATACATATTTTAAAAATATTTTTGGATATATACAGGGTGTTACATTTTTGCTTGGCATATTTTTAAAATAGTACATGTATTTTATTTCAATTTTAGAATGGTTTGGTAATACTGTATTCAACCCTAGAATAATTTAAAAAAATATTACAGGTCTGCCAAGCAATTAAATTTTTATAAAATTAGAGAATGATGCAGACACCAAATTAATTTATCATAATTTAGGTAGGATTACATTGATTTCAAAATTGTTTAATACACTGACTCATAGCACATTAAGATAACGAATAGTAGTGATAGTGCTGGATTCTTTTATAGCGAGTGTTTTGAAACATGTGTCTTAAATATGGTTACTTTTAAGTCAAATTACTCAATTTTTTTCAAAGGCAGCATCCGATATAATATTTTAGCATACAATTCCTTATAAATTTGCGTATCCAACGATACTAACATGTTAGAGAATAACATATATACAGAGTGTCCCATCAGTGCGTAACTGATCGATAGCTGTTTTATTATTGGAAATAAGAAAAAAATTAATATAAAAGTTGTATAACCATATTTAAAAATTAGTCCTATATATACAGGGTGGTCCATAAACGAGATATTGACCAAACCTATACATTTTGAAATCAAAACACCCTGCAGGTAGTTATACATTATACATATTTGATTGTTTTCACGTCGTCAAATAATTTTAATTGACTTCATTCATTTGCTATGTTATATATAGGGTGTGTCAACACGCGAGATTACAAATGTTTAAATTTTTTTCAATGGAATATTATATTAATTGGTGACATATAACATACAGGGTGTTCCATTCTAAAATTGAGAAAATCGTGACCATTTTGATACACCCTATATACAACATAGCATAGGAATGAAATTGAAATTATTGTTCGATGTTGTGAAAACAGTCAAATATGTATAACTACCTGCAGGGTGTTTTGCTTTAAAAATGTATAGGTTTGGTCAGACAATCGTTTATGGATTACCATGTATATTTATAAATAATTGTTAAATATGGTCATACAACTTTTATATTAATTTTTTTCGTATTTTCTATTATAAAACTGCTATCGATCAATTACGCACTAATGGGACACCCTGTATATGTGTTATTGACTAACATATTGGTATCGTTGGATATGTTAATTTATAAGGAATTGTATGCTTAAATAATATACAGGGTGTGGCATTTGAAAAAAATTCAATAAATTTAACTTGGAATTAGCCATATTTAAGACTTGTTTTTCAAAACACACTGTATAAAATAATCCAGTTCTATTACCATTATTCGTTAGCTTAGTATCTTATTACTACATTAAAAAAAAATTGAAATTATTTTAAACATACCTAAATAATGATAATTTAATTTGGGGTCTAAATCATTCTCTAATTTCATAAAAAAATTAATTTATTGGTAACCCTGCAATATTTGTTAATAAAATTCTAGGGTTAAATACAGTATTACTAAAGCATTCTAAAACTGAAGTAAAATACAGGGTTTTCTACTTAAAAAATATACCGTTTTATTTGTCAGACAAAAACGCAAAACCATGTATATCTAAAAATATCTTTAAAATACCTATTTTTGAAATTCATATAACTTTTATTTAGAAATTGTTTACGTGTCTACAACACAAATTGAAATATTGAACAATTACGCACTAATGAGACAACCTGAATATATTATTCACAATATATGCACGCGACATATGTTTGTAATAATTTAATCCCGCGCCGCGTTTATATATTTATTTACGCTTCTATTAGATATTGTAGTTTCTTAGTATTTACTTAAACTACTTTGCTCTTAAAACGTAAAAACAGACTTAAATTTTTAGAAAAACTACTTCGGCTCGGCAGACCCGACCACAACATTTGCTTCGGTAGTCAACGTGTTTTAAATGCTTTTTTATTCATTTGTTGTTTAATTTGTATTTAGTTATTAATATTTCAAAAATGCGTATTTTTCTTATTGATTAATCTAAAATACACACAATTTGTATTAATAATTGAAAATAGTACTGTAGTTCTAAATTGATAAAAAAAGTAGGAATATGAAAACATAAATTACGACTCTGCAAATGAAGTAAAATTTTATGATTAATTTTTTTTTCTTACAAAAACATTAGCTCAGCAATATGTTATAAGTTGCATACATACAGTATGTCTATGTAAGTTGATAGCAAATAGAAAACTTTTTTATTATTTATTTTACGAAAAAAAGTTATTCTTCATAAAAATGTATGCATGGTCTAACAGAAAATGCAACCAATTGATATTAAATTTTATCAGTCGGTTTTACAAGGTTTGTCAAAAAATATAATTTTGCTCAAGATAAAATACCTTTATTTTCGACCAACACTGTATATGACTGATAAAATTTGTTATCAGATGATTGAATTTTAGGTTTTAGACCATGCATAACTTTTTATGTAAAGTAACTTTTTTTCTAAAATTAAGAGACCATCCAATTGTTTATGAAAAATAAGTTTTTTTCTTAAAATTCTTAAAAAAGTTTTCCGTATGCCGATACCGCCAACTTACATATAAATGAGATTAAATTTTTTGAAAATAATTTTTACTGATGCAGACCTAAATAAATTATTGTGGGCATACGAGTATAAGGTAATAAAAACACTTTTTTTATTACATTTTTCTTTTTTTTATTTGGTTCTTTGGCTGTAAGACCTTTCGGTATATACAGGGTATTCCATTAAGAATGGGAACAACTGAAGATTAACTAATTAGAAATAAGCCGAATAAACGAAACGTCCGTAGGTAAAACATTACTCGTTTCCGAAAAACAGGGTTTTAAAGTTGAAAATCAAAAATTATGATTAGCTACAATTTTTTTATTACTCAGTTTAATTTTACTAAATTCGGCAAACGTTATTGGTGTTATAAAATACACCTATCAACAAAA